TTTTAAAAATACCCAAAACAGCGGAATTACAAGATGGAAATATAGACTAGAAAGATATTTAAACTTGCTCTGCCCTTACGTCCATGACATTGACTCACTGCGGATCTTTCCAGCTCTTAACGCCGAATGTGCTCTTATGGTTTGATACATGATGGGCTAATGTAGAAGCAAATAACTTTAAATAAATAACTTTAAATAACTTTTAAAAATAAACCCCTTTGTATTGCATTGCATATTGTATGTTCAGGGATGACAGATTGAGAAGCAGACATGCTATTTATGACTGGATGTAACTTTTCATACTTTGCAGTAAAAGTGGCTCTCCTATTAACTTTGTCCTATAAGTGCGGCTCTCGTGAAAAAAATAGTGAAGATCACTGCTTTAAGCAATCATCAAATGTTCCTTTCTCTTGTCACAGTCATGGCTGGTTAGGAAAATACCTCAGATTTGAATTGAAGATAAAGATTAAAGTAAGAAGATAAAGATCTTTCATCATTTGTCACTTTAACACTCCGTGTCTGGTAAGGACACAATGTGACTGGTACATCCCTGTGTTGATCCAGGATCATGTGGCACTTGGTGAAATCACCATAAATCACAGGACACTGCCATCCACGATAAGGAGGTGAGGATTTTGTGTGTTTCTATTGCAGTCCTGGGTGACTTCGGTCCTGGAGGGCCACTGTACTGCAGAGTTTAGCTCCAACCCTAATCAAACACACCTGAACAAGCTAATCATTGCCTTCAAGATCACTAGAAAGCTACATGCAGGTGTGTTTGATTAGGGTTGGAGTTAAACTCTGTAGGACAGTGGCCCTCCAGGACTGAAGTTGCCCAGCCCTGGTCTATGACCTACCGTAATGCCTCCTACCCCCCCTGGACCCCATGTTGCATCCCTACCTCCCAGCACGCTGCAGGTGATGGCCTCTGTGTGTTGGGCCAGGAGTTCAGCTTTAGCAATGGCAGCCAGTGACAAGTAGCTGGACATGTTTCTGCTCAGCTCTTGGTTCCCCTGCTGCAAGAACCGCACTGCCACAGGGACCGCTAATGCCATCACTGGAGGCCTGTTGTAATTCTGGGAAAAAAAATTAATAATAAATCAGCCCAACTGTAGACCAGCATCTCAGGTCACAGATTCTTTCAATTAACTGTAAACTGTTTACTAGTTACGACCAATACAAACTCTGAAGCCTGAATTGAGAAGTTACCAGCGTGTGCTAATTCTGACCAGTGTACGCCAAGATCAGTCAATAACGATTTTAATAGATTCAGAAAGTGATCACATAAGGGTTAGCTGGCTCCTTAGTTAATTTAATAAAAAATAATAAGAGATCCTATATAAGGCATGAAAGGCAGCAGTTAACATTTCAAAAGATCAAACTGAACACAGAAAGTAGGTTATGTGAAATGTTCTGCTGCCCCCTAGAGTAGAAGATGTGAACGTGTCAGGTTGAAACATGGAAAATCAGATGGATATCAAAAGAAATGGAAAGTTGTTTTATCATGAAGAATTAAGTTTTACACCACTGCATAGCAATTATTAAATTTGATACAAGTGGCCAAAATAAAATAATTCGGTTTATATTTCAATCTTCTTCAAAAATATTCATAAATCTAGTTACTGTACACAATATGAGCATGATTTTCAATTCTTCTTCAGCAAATTAAAAGATTTTCCTTTACTGTAAAAAGAATGGTCATTTGCATTCTTGCCTAAAGGGAAAAGGTCCTTGAATATCAGAACTAAAACTTTAAAAGGCATGATTTAGAGCAAACAACATCCAAAGAACTCAAGCTAATTATATAACACCCACTTGAATATGTAACTGCTGCTCAGATCAAAGAGCCCTTCCACAAATAGTTCTGAAGAACTCCGGCATAAGACTGTTCAAGCTGCAGTTCTCTAATGAATACTGATCTTCACCACTACCCAGAATGCTTCACTCTAGCTCAGCCTCTCTCTAAGCCCTGCTCTAAGATTCATGTGTGGCTTATTATATAAGTGAAAGTGTGTGTGTGTGTGTGTGTGTGTGTGAGAGAGAGAGAGAGAGAGGGAGGAGTCATTAAATGGAATGATGTGATAAAGGCACTGGAGGGAGAGTGTAGCAAATATCCAAAGACGCAGGAGAAACTGTGTCAAGCCTGTGAAAAATCTTTTTAAAACAGAAATAATTAAAAAGAGATTATGGCTAATTGCTGTTGTCAGGCGTGTCAGTTCCATTTTGAGACATGCCACTCGACTCCCTGAGACTGAGCGTAACTATTGCTTCAGAATTGACAAATATGGACCCTTTTCACAATTCTGGGGTTCTCAGAAGCAGAAGTCATCATAATTGTAGTCTCAGCCAGTCAGAACGATGCATAAGACACACAAAATGAGACAAACTTTGGGAGTTTTGAAGTCATCCTCTGATGGGTTGATTTTTACAGAATGTCCAGGAGACGTGTTTGTCCCATTCTGAAAAAATTGTATTATTTCTGTTATTGCAGAGACAACGACTTTACATTTTTACACCCCTAAACATGACGCTGAACAAAACAAACCGTGACTGGTTGCTTTACATGTCTTTCAGACGGCCTCTTGGGCGGATCTTGGCCAATGAAATTTGAGATGGAGTCCAGACCTTCTGCCATCAGTCTGAAGGTCTGGGTATTCGAGAGTATCATAAGTGGGTAAATATTTAAAGCAGTGAACGGGAGACAACAGCAAATATGATTTTTGCATTTTCAATTGCTCCAATAGTAAAAGAAAAAAAAGGTGGGTTTCGCTACGGCTATCCAAGAGATCAATTATGCCAGTCAGAAGAGAGAAAGATGACAAATGTACTCGTTCTAACTAGTTCTTTGCCATTTAAGACAAATTATAGCGTACAATTGTACATACATACATATATATACAGTATAAATATAAACAACATAAAAAATATATACATTTTATATTTAAAATGTTAACAATTGTGAAAATTTCAAGAAGGAAAAAACTAAATTTGATCTATGTATGTCAATGGTTCGGATTTCAAAATTTCAAACTGTGTACCATTCAACTCAGTCATTTTAACTCTGATGTACAGTATGATGATGGAACAAAATTTTTAACTTGAAACTCTGGTGGCATCCAAGGAGAGATAGGCACTTCATTTTTACACAAATAAAATGCACTAGTGAGTCGAAGTGTATGCATTATATGATAATAAGGCTGTGTAGTAAAGTACAGGTGTGTAAATTAGAAAATAAACCTCCTTATCAGTAATTTGTTAGCAAATCCATTGACATCACACATTTTTCTTTTTATGTTTATGTTTGGGCTGCGTGGACACTTTTTGGACCAGCTGTACCCTGACTATTAATGTGAGGAATCTGCTGTTATGTTTATAAATGTAGGGAAATCATTTAGGGTCATTTGTGTGCTTTGGCCCTTAAGTGTTGCTCCTACCTGCAAGATGCAGCTGGTGATGTCGGAGGCGATCTTGGCATGGGGTGTGTCTTCGTCTTTGCCCTGAGGCTGGAGGTTATGCTCGAGACAAGACTCCCATAGTGACACAAGAGCTGCTCCGTGCCTCTCAATCGAACCTGTTTCCCTAATGGCTGTAGTGATGCGTGTGATGCAGATCTCCACCACCGCTTGGTCATTGTCATTGGTCAAGTAGTCCTGCAACCAATCACAAATCACATAACTGAATGCATTTAAGACTCTGTTACATGTTGCAAATTTTCAGGTGCAAATGAAATCTGTGCCATATATTGTGTGACAGCAGAAATTCTGCAATGCTATTTATATTAAGGTATATATCCATGTTTTGATTTTATAAAATCTGACACCTAAATGAAAAATATAGTCGACTCTTGCAAACTGCTTTGATTAAAATGGGAGCAATTTAGTTTGACCACACCATGTGTAACTGTAGGCCGTTTCCAGTTACCAAGCTGATGCGCGGTCACACCTTCACAGATCTGGATATATTTAATATTTTGCAATACTCTGAATGTGGCTCATTCAAACAGATTTATAGTGTATTACTGTTTTTACCTCTTTATTATACAACATGAAGTTGTTTTGCACTGATACAAGATTTATCATTCATTTACTATAAATCTTATGTTTTGGATGAAATCTGTGCCATATATTGTGTGACAGCAGAAATTCTGCAATGCTATTTATATTAAGGTATATATCCAGTTTTGATTTTATAAAATCTGACACCTAAATGAAAAATATAGTCGACTCTTGCAAACTGCTTTGATTAAAATGGGAGCAATTTAGTTTGACCACACCATGTGTAACTGTAGGCCGTTTCCAGTTACCAAGCTGATGCGCGGTCACACCTTCACAGATCTGGATATATTTAATATTTTGCAATACTCTGAATGTGGCTCATTCAAACAGATTTATAGTGTATTACTGTTTTTACCTCTTTATTATACAACATGAAGTTGTTTTGCACTGATACAAGATTTATCATTCATTTACTATAAATCTTATGTTTTGGTTTGCATCCATAATGTTTCAATCAAAAAATAAAATAAGATCAAGTTTCTTTATTTCAAAATCCAGTGAATAGGTCTTCTTACATGGTTATGTAATATATAAAACATTTATGGACTGACATCCATCCACTGACTGTTTGTTAAGCTACAGGGTATTTACATGCAAACAGCTTTATTTAGAGTTCTGAAAGCATGAGGTATCTTTAAACTAGAATGTTATGTAGCAAATATTTTCATCTTTGTGGTGTGGCATGTTCGGAATGATAATGTTATGCCAGTGACTGTGGAAAGGAGGACACTGTAGGCCCTGGAGAGAGAAATACAAGAGAAGAGAGAATGAGAGAAGGCTACCCCTGAGATGCTGGATGAGCCCAAATCTGTTTACAAAAGCCAGCCAGAACAAAGAAGCCCAATGAGGCAAGAGGAACTGGCTTTATCACGCTCAGTGACACCAACATTCCTTCAGAAGTTCTCTCATTTAAATTTAAAAGTGTGGAAATGAGGGGTCACCTTATTCAAATTATTCAGATATGCAGTGCTGACAGCGTCAGTGATCAGCTAGAACATGCCATATGCTCTCTAACTTCACTTTAACAGCATAACATCAACAAGGCATGTGATCAGCTAAGGACAAACAGGAAGTAAAGCTTGTTACTTTCCACTGAATATGTCTATTTTTGTTAGGGATTTGGACTTTTTGGCTAGTAGTGTTTTTCCTTTTTTGTGTGTCTGTGTGAGTTTGTGTATCCTGGGCATGGCTATACATGCCTCTCTGTGGCTGATTGCTGAATGTGAATCACCTGCGGCCAATCAACTCGTCTGCCTCCAGTATTTAAACCCTGGGTCTTCAACCATTCTCTGCCAGGTCATTCAGTCTGCGTATGTGGTACTGTGCTAAGGCCTCCCAGTGTCTTTACACCAGTTCTGTGTTTTGTTGGAGTTCTAATTCGGTTTCTCCTGTGATTTAGACCTCACTCCACCTGCATTCTGCCTGCTACGCCCGATCAACAAACTACTCACTCAGCTCTACCAGTGTATCTCTGGCCTGTTTAGTTTCCAGCTCACCTCAACAACAATCTTCAACAGCAAATTAGAGATGGATTACGTTTTTTTTTTTTTTTTTTGCCAATAAATTAATTTGATTTGCAAAGTGTTCTGCTCTTGGGTCCAAAGCTGTGTTTGGTTACAACAATAATATTATTAGATTTATTAAATAGATTTATAATTGATTCTCATTACAAATCTACCACTTGTTGCATTTTCAAATGCACATTATAAGTAGGGCTCGAGATTGCAATAAAATGTATGTTGATAATGATAACGCATAAGCTCTGGTCATTTTTAATCAATATGGATTATTCTAACAGACTATCACACAACAGAAGTAAATGCAACAACAGCCAGTCAGTGCATGTTCATTTTAAGTCTGCATGTCTCTGTGTGAATAAGTGGTGAGGTTTCGTCTATGACAAACACAATCACGCGTAACGCTCATGGAGTTTTCAGCATCCCAATATATGAGGACAGTCCATATGAACTTCATCTCCACAGCTGTTCTGAGATTCACTTCACAAGCTTTTCACCATTTAATAATAAAAAAAACTCCCATCAACTAAACACAGAAACTCTATCTTTGCAAAAATAAAAGTTTGGTTTAACTTGAAGAAATTATGACAGAAATATATTTCTATTGTATACTAAAATGTACTTCTCATTATTATTATTATACATATTATAATTATCTTGTATAACTTCTCAATTACTTTAGTTTCTTGAATTAACGCAATAAATTAATTTGATTTGCAATGTGTTCTGCTCTTGGGTCCAAAGCTGTGTTTGGTTACAACAATAATATTATTAGATTTATTAAATAGATTTATAATTGATTCTCATTACAAATCTACCGATTGTTGCATTTTCAAATGCACATAAGTAGGGCTCGAGATTGCAATAAAATGTATGTTGATAATGATAACGCATAAGCTCTGGTCATTTTTAATCAATATGGATTATTCTAACAGACTATCACACAACAGAAGTAAATGCAACAACAGCCAGTCAGTGCATGTTCATTTTAAGTCTGCATGTCTCTGTGTGAATAAGTGGCGAGGTTTCGTCTATGACAAACACAATCACGCGTAACGCTCATGGAGTTTTCAGCATCCCAATATATGAGGACAGTCCATATGAACTTCATCTCCACAGCTGTTCTGAGATTCACTTCACAAGCTTTTCACCATTTAATAATAAAAAAAACTCCCATCAACTAAACACAGAAACTCTATCTTTGCAAAAATAAAAGTTTGGTTTAACTTGAAGAAATTATGACAGAAATATATTTCTATTGTATACTAAAATGTACTTCTCATTATTATTATTATACATATTATAATTATCTTGTATAACTTCTCAATTACTATCCAGAAGTCTTCCTTTTTCGTTTACCACCCTGCCTCAACTCATCCTGGCTGCTCTGGTCAGTAAGTTCTCTTGATCCTCCAGCTTTGGCCTCTCTGTTGTCTCGGTGAGAAAGTGCAAGCTGGTCATCATCAGTGGATGTCCCTCCAAGTGATTCCCCAGAGATGAGGGAATCATGAGAAGAATCAGTCTGGTGGTCTGATCTCCTCCTTTGCCATTCTCTGCTTTCTGACCTGCCAGAAGTCTTCCTTTTTCTTTTACCGCCCTGTCTAACCTCAACCTGACTACCTGAGCTTTGGTCTGCAGGTGCCCTGGATCCTCCAGGACTGGCCTCATGGTTGACCTGGTGAGAAGGTCCAGGCTGTTCGTCATCCATAGGTATCTCCCCACGTGCTGCTGGTGGGTTATTAGTATGCAAAGGATAAAACCCAAGGGTCGAGGATTCACCCGCAGCATGCACAGTGACGGCCCAGACATCTGTTTGCCAGGTCAGCATGGAGACCAAAGGATTGTATTCAGTGTCAGGTATCCATAGATACAGTAAGAGTTCCCTGAGAGCTCTTCGGGTACGCAGCAAACCAAGACCTGGGTTAGATGCGGTCATGTAACGTGGTAAGCGTACTTCTAGATGCATCAACAGGCCATGCTCGTCTTCAAACTCTACTATAAACACAATTCCTGGAAAATCATCCCTATTAATATCATTCTCCTCATCGTGACCGACAGGGGGTCCAAACAGTAGGATGTGTAGCTCATGGAAGATATTATGAATGTCACCTTGATCCATGTGAACTACACACTAAACAGTTACTGTGAAATGTGAACTAGCATTTTCACTGCAGGTGTCTGAATACTATATCCAATCTTATTCATGCTGTTATGAGCCTCTTGAGGTCCATCTGCTCAATTTATCGCTTGTACTTGGAATTCTTGCTTTTGTGATGACATAGATTGTTGAAATTCTGAGAATTCTATAATCTCTGTTTAAAAAACAACAGGATCTGTACAGCTATATTCTTCTACAATTCTGAATAGACATGCCAAATAACATGAAATTTACTAAAGAGATTTACTAGAGGTTCTATCTTCTAAAAGAATGTTTTTTTTATCCTTGGTCCAGTTTGGTTTATGTTTCTTGTTTTTTGTTTTTTTGTCTATACATAATGTATCCTGCAGTCTAAGGTGAAAACAATGAGTATATTAACAATGATTCAGAAGAAATATAATGTAACTGGCATGACAGGAAGCAAAAAAGAAAATGATCACATGAATTATGATTAAAATACTAAATAGACAAAAATAAACATTTGGTATGAAAAACAACAACATTGTAGTAAATTTCTTGGTGAACTTTGGGGAAATGTTTTATTTATTTTTTTATAAATGGACCCCTTTAAAATCATTTAAGAATGTTGTGCAATGAATTTACTATTTTGGGAGCGGAGTACTCACTGGTGAACAGGATATGACTTTGATTTCCTCCAGGGCTTGGGACAGACAGTCTTCAATCTCGCTGTCATCCAGAGAGAAGAGGTCTCCTGCACGGGACAGGTCTCTCTGTCCCAGCACTAGACGGAACAGCTGGTGCATTCTGGGACAGGCTCAAACTTGAGCAGGCTGCCCCTGCCCTGTGTTACCACGATGACTTGACATGCTCCTGAAATGCACCCAGTATACATGCATCAGACTAACACCTACAAACTGGAACGAAGTAGAGAAGAAGACAACTATGAGGAAGATGAATTAAGGGAAAAAAGGAGACAAGAAGGAAAAGAGGGAGTGAGAGACAACACAAAAAGAAAAAGACATCATTGCATTTAAAGTTCATTGATCTTTGTACATTTTTTATTAAGGACAGTAGGGTTATACTTAGACTTATGAAACTAAAATGATATTCTTTAAAGTGTCTCTATTATGCCATTTTTAAGGTTTCTTGTATTGTTTTGGGAGTCTCCTACAATAGGTTTACATGCATGCAATGTCAAAAAACGCTTTTCGCTTTCGTTTGAAGAAGAGACGAGGGGAAAAAAAGATTGGATAGGGAAAGCTCTGGCTTCGTGTAGACGTAGCCTAAAACCCTCCTTTCAGTGAGCCAACTCTGCTCTGATTGGTCAGATGGCCCAGTCTGTTGTGATTGGTCTGCCGTGTACAGAGCGTGTCGGAAACGATATGGCCATTGCCATAGTTCTGTATTTTGAACATTAGATAGAAAATATAAACATCTATTATTTATCATACTTACAGGTTGTGATTCAGTGAAGCCAGCTGATCCAAATAAACTGGGTACTGAGCCATCTTTCAAGAGCAAGCGCTTTGTGAGTCCTGCATTGAACTCCCCGAGATTAGAGAAGCAGTTGTCAGTAAAATGATGGGAACACGCAAAAAAAAAAAGATTGGTGTTGTACTGCTGTGGTACAGTGGAAAAAATTAATTATGACCACTGATTCTTTGCAGCCTCATCTTTTGGATGTGAAAATTAAATTCCAAATTATTAGTATGATTTTTTTTTTGTCTGCACATATTTGAGTATATGATATTTTTATCAAGATATTTTATCAAATATATATTAAAAAAAAGATTTTCAACACTTTTGTTACTTGAAATAAAATCAAATTTAACTGAAATAAAATAAAATATCATTTAAAAAATACTAAAACTTTACTCCATTAAAACAGAATCCAGAAAAATTAAAACGGGGAAAGAAAGGGAATCCCAAAAAATGTAAACAGAAAAAAATAAATGAATTTGGGGGGAAATTTATAATATTAATACAGATTTCATAGGGCCCTGGATTGGACAATTGGCATTCCAAGAATACTAACATTTAGTCCAACAACGCTAGCACTTTTCACTGTTTGCATTACTCCGCTTGTTTGCCATCTTCTTTAGTTTGGCAATTATATACAAAACTAAGTTTTCTGTCTGAAAAGCAAAATATTTTCAATATCAACCTCCATTTTTTGTTCCTTGAACTTCAGTGCAAAACAAACATCACACAAGCATGAGTGCTGCTACTATATAACAGCACACCTGTGATTCAGTCACAGGCATGAGGCTGCAGGTAACCACAGCTGTCCTGATATTCAGAACAACATCACGACTGTGAGTGATATGATGCTTGAGTGTGTCTACTCCCTGCAACGAATGAACACTTCTCTCTTTTGAATACTTATCTCTTTTTAAAGGCTACCTTAAATATTCTCCTTTTGTTTTCATACAGCATAACACTTTGAAACGAGGTAAATAAGTAAATAAGGTGAATAAATAAAATTGAGTATTTTCATTTTCACTATTCCTTTCAAATATTCTGTATGCATAAAAAAAAATATTTATGACTCTAAAGAGAGCCTGGATGGGATTTCGGGCTGTCAAGCTTCCTGTTAGAAAAATGTTCTCAGAAAACAATTCTGCCAGTGTTTTCCTCGGAGTGAAGCTAAACCTCTGTTAATCTGTAATGTGTTAAACCCGTACCTGCTGGACTCCATCACTCATTAAAGAGTGTAAAATGTCACACGTTCAGTCTCAAACTCTTGAACATGCAAACATGGATGTGTTCAGTCATGTCTCAGGAAGGGCTATTGTATCTATTTTACTCAGCTTGTATCATGCAGATTGATCGTTCATTAGTTTATCTTGGTTAGATAAACCATGCAGCTTTCCTTAACGGTTTCATTTGTTTTTTCTGGGTTTCTTATGTACAGAACTGAAGAGGAAGTGTAATGGACGTTCGTCATTGGAGACAGGGTGGGATATGAGCACGTAATATGATTGACATATGAGCAGCGAAGAGAAAACACAGGCAGGCAGCGCTGGACGCAGCTAATGCTCATCAATAAATCAGTGGGAAATTAATAGAAATGATGATTTTGTCGGTGCTATGCATTTTAAAAATGAAAATGCAGTAGTGTAAACACACCCTAAAAGATACACCATTTTGAACTGATTTATTGTGTTGATTACATTTTGTTCCTTTGTGCAGTGGCTCAGGAGATGAGATTTTGAGTCTGAGAAATGTCAACAAGCATTTTTTTTTTTGAGGTAACGTGTAATGTAATCTTGTTAAAACAAATTTCATAAAAATTGGTATCGAAAAAAGATATCGGTATCGGTATCAATATTGAATATTTTTGAATGACACTCAGCCCAATGCAAGACTCAGCAATGAACAACAATCTGGCAATAAAAAAAATACAACTTTAGAAAGAAAGATGCCTGTCGTGGGCCTCTTGTTTGTTCTTTCATCAGTCAGTGATCCAAACGGATCATAGGTTCTGCCAATCAGAAGGCATTATGAGGCAGGCACCCAATGGTAAGTCGAAAATGCAGTAGTGTAAACACACCCTAAAAGATACACCATTTTGAACTGATGTATTGTGTTGATTACATTTTGTTCCTTTGTGCAGTGGCTCAGGAGATGAGATTTTGAGTCTGAGAAACGTCAACAAGCTGAAAAAAACGAAAGTTTTTTTTTTTTTGAGGTAACGTGTAATGTAATCTTGTTAAAACAAATTTCATAAAAATTGGTATCGAAAAAAGATATCGGTATCGGTATCAATATTGAATATTTTTGAATGACACTCAGCCCAATGCAAGACTCAGCAATGAACAACAATCTGGCAATAAAAAAATACAACTTTAGAAAGAAAGATGCCTGTCGTGGGCCTCTTGTTTGTTCTTTCATCAGTCAGTGATCCAAACGGATCATAGGTTCTGCCAATCAGAAGGCATTATGAGGCAGGCACCCAATGGTAAGTCAGAGTCGCTGAGGAGGTGACAACACAGATGCACTTCACACCCGTCCTCGCATTCCAGAGCTGAGCATCGCTAGGATACCACAGCAAGAATGCTCAGGGACCCTGCGGAGGTCTGACCAAACCACTAATACTCAAATAGAATCCCAATGACTTTATCTGAGCAAGCACAACAGGCTCCTAGTCTGTCAGCTTCTATTTAAAACTGAGAAAATACATTGTCCAACTGCTTATGTAGCAATTACACTTGTCTCGCTCCACAAAAATGCTTTTAACCCACTTGTTCATGTTTCATTTGTAAGCTGAGATTTATGATGGTATAAATGTGACAGTAAAAATGTGACAACTGACAGATATTTAGTGCCCTATGAAATTTGTATTCTTTTTTTCGATGGGTATATTTTGGTGATCAAAAACTATTAATTAAAAGTCTAATAAAAATTAAATTTTAGGGCCCTATGAATTGTTTTATTTTTTTCCCAAATTCAGGTTTTCTGTTTTAATTTTTCTGGATTCCGTTTTAATGGTCGAATTACATTTTAATTCAAAAAAGCAAAAAAAAAGCATGCCTAATAAATTGAATTCCTAAAATGTATTTTACAATAATAGGGGCCTTTTTTTCCTCAGAAAATCTGTTTTATTTTTTCTGGATTGAAGTTTAAATATTGACAGCCAATCAGAATTCACCCAACCTTTAAGAGCTTGTGCATTTAAAGCAGCAGATGACACAACTGCAGCATGTTTATAATAAACATAATGTTACTGTGCTTGATGCTAATATACCGTAGTTATAGTTGTTGTTCTTGGCGTGAATGGGCCTTTAATCTTTTATTGGGTTTCATAAGTCTGTAATGAATGGTCAAATTGCCATAAGAGCAAAAACTATAAAAAGCAAAAACTAGTCTAAATGCACAAACACATGATGACACCCTGGTTTGTAACCGGATAGCTCTGCTTGTGTTGGACAGAAAGCAGGTCACTGGGTCTGGTCTCTTAAACAATCACCCAGTCACAACCCAGTTACAATTAATCTCCAGGTTACGGCTCGGCAATCTCTGGAATGCAGTCTTTAAAAACATGCTGGCATACACATGCTTCAATGCACACATGCATGCACTATGATACAATGCCAACACATGCAAACTGCTAGAAGGAAAAGCAAAGCACTTCTACACAGACTGATGCACGACAAATATTTAAAAGTTGACTTGTGTACTTTTTTAACCTTGTAAAGACTGACATATAAAATAATAGTCCGATTTTTTTTTTTTACCTTTAGACCAATATATATATACATATATATATATATATATATATAAAGTAGCATATTTTGAGTATCATATTTGATACATTGGACTTTACAACTCTTTTGGTATAATAGCCTATGAATAAATAAGTTCTCTATAAAAATCATTAACGATTTTACAGAAAAACATTCAGAATCTGTAATGAAATTAATAGCAGTATGTAAATACTGATACAAAAAAAGACATAAGAAATTATATTCATTTATTAAGATATTTAGCTAAGTTTAATGGTGCAAAGAAAAATATTTAGTATTGCGTCATAACTTTGCATTAATTTATGTCGCAACTAGGCTAAGTTGTAACTTTCGCACAGCTGGTGCAACTGGCCCCTGGAAACAATCCAGAACACCCAAACTAACACCTAGCAACTACCAAGCAAGTTAGCATCCACTCAGCATAGCCCAGAGGAAAATCACCTATACTTCGGGAGAATGTAGAAAGGCAGAGCATGTCATGTTAATGACCATTGATTGCTTGGGAGTTTAACCTTTATAAAAATCACTAACTAAATATAACCAGTCGGGGAGAGAGACTGCCTAACATTGAGTCTTTTGTATTCTTGTCCCCCTCCTCTACTGCAGTAATGGGCACCTGTTGATCACAGTCCCCTTATGGAGACGCTCAGGCTGCCGAGAGCAGATAGAACATCCGTATGATCATCCCATTATACAAATTCCCCCGGTCTCTCTCCATCCCGCCCCACACACCACAGTGTCTGATCACAACA